GGGTCAGATTGGCCACAGCTGATTTCCTCTCTCTTTAGATAAAAATCAATTGATGCCAACTTAAATTGCTTTGAAACTGCTGTCTTCTAAAGTTTACCAATCTCTGAAAGATCTCTTCAGTCATATTATACACCTTTTTCATCATTTCACACATCCTTAGACCAAAGGCTTCATTCAAATCAAGGTATTGTGCTAAGTTTTCAAAGCCAAGGCCCTGGGCCAGCCTTGTTCTTCTAAGGAACGTCTTGCCCAGCCCAGGTATTTCACTAAAGAGACTCAGAGGAGGGTTTTATACTCTCAAGGACATTTGACTCGTGTCTAAAGACCTCTGTTGTCACAACTTGGGAGATGCTACTGGCATCTAGCAGAGTAGGGTCAAGGATGCTGCTTAGCATCCTGTAACCCACAGGACAGTTTGCCACCACTCAGGATCTAACCAGACTTCAGAATGTCAACAGTGTCATAGATGAGGACCCCAGCTACATTGAAGTGGACTCATCCATAGACCATTGTGTGACCTCTACACTTTAGGGGATTTTCCTCCCTCTGCACCTTCCTTCCTTCCTACATAAAGGGAGAGGCTGTGTGCCTATAAGAAGCCTATTATCTACAAAAGAGCCCCTTTTTTGTATCTCTCAGGATTCAGCTGCCACAAAAGCAAGTTACAGAGTCATGCGTGGGAGTGTCGGAAGTTCATCTGGTCTCTTCTGAACTTTTCAATGTGGTGAGTATTCTAAATCTACACTTAATAATAAGGACTCCACATTCTTTAACTCTCCTCCAAGCTACAAAATTGGGTCTGAGCAATGCTAAGCTGTCCAAGGTCATCGGTTTGGAGTAGGCAGCATCAGAGTTCATGGCCAAGTCTCACCTGGGACCATAATTAAATAGGCATTGGGGTATCTGATTCATAGTTATGTTTCTATTCTTATTATGTTTTAAAATACAAAATCAAAATAAATGTAAGTCAAATGTAAGTCCCCCCTATCCTACCCAACAAGTGTCAAATAAAAGTGGATGCCTAAAAAAGCTTCAGGGAATGTGGACTTGAGATATTCAGAGCAAGGTCTGGAAGCACCTGTAGCAGTCCCCCATCTCTGCACTGGCTACCTGTGCTCCACGTCACTGCACACCTACCTCACTGCACTCCCACCTCACCACACAGTGAGGTCTCCTGCCGCATCCAGGAAGTGCCTCTGTACAAAAATATTAGGAAACAAAACAAGCTCATCTCAGGCTCATGAGCTTGAGGGCTGTGTGCAACAAAGATGTCTAGGTATTATGACACAGCTAAAATAAATGTGCTGTCTACTCCCTCTTCTACTAGGGATCCTCAGTGTTTCACATGGGATTCTGGGAACAAAGGGACCCCCTCACAGAGACAGAGGAAAGCAGCACCCTTGCTCATACACCTTACTTGCTAAGTCTTGCCCAAAGGGGGGCAGGGAAACCATAGGTCAGTTAATGAGAGTCCTTCTTCAGTGACAGCTCAGTCAGTACTCCCCAACTACCAAAATGCTATCCCCGGAAGACAAAGGAAGAGCCAAGAATCCCACTGGAACCATGTGTATATCAGCCTAGGAAAACCTATTGACATGGGCTGGTGGCATGCTTAGGAGGATAAAGACACCTGCTATGAAAACCTGGGAATCTGAATGTCATGCCAGATCCCATGTGAAGGTAGACAGAGAACATCAACTTCATAAAGTTGTTCTCTGGCACACACACACACACACACACACACACACACACACACACACACACACACACAACCACAGTATTTAAAAATGTTTTCCAAAGAAAACCTGTGAGCAAGAATTTCACAAGACCACTTTCACTTCCACTGTAGGCAGGAGTCATGGAGAACAGAGAGGAAATTCCAGGGTAAGCAACATGTTCCACCCTTCCAACCATGAGCTCTTCAAGACTCTGCAGGCCTGGCCCAGAAGAATGGGCTCATTATGTGCAACTGAATAGAAAACAAGCTGGCCTTGGTGGGTCTGACCACACATGGTGTCTGCAGGCATCGTGTCAAGGATGCCCTGGGGTGCCCCTCTGGGCTGGATGTAGTGGGCACCCCTGGGAGAGGATGGGCAAGATGGACCTTGAGAAGCCATCTCACTCTAGATGGGAGGTCATCTAGCTGCAGAAGTGCCCACAAGGAGAACATGGTGACAACACCTTCCTTGGTGGAACCTAGCTCTTTATTAAAAGCAGTGAATAAATCATGAATTCATTGGAGAAGATATTTGCCAATTAACAAGTGGCAGCTGTTTTTCTTTCTTTTTAAGGGTCTGGCTGATTAAAATTGCATGCTTCATTTAAGCAAGAGCCTCGTGTACTTTACCTGGGAAGAAAAAAAAAAAAAGGCTGAGCATCCTTTATTCGAACAAAGTGCAGGCTTTTGTGATTCATTAAAATGCTCTCAAACTGAATGCAAATTGCAAGCCCACAGAAGCATTTTTGCTTGCTCTGTATAATATGAGCATTCTCAATTCTCTGTTTAGCATCTTCTGCCTCCTTAGAGAGCCCACACTGAATATTAGAATAGAATAAGGGAGCACCCATCAATCAGCAGAGCCAGGGTGCTGCCTCCGCCAAAGACACCAGTCCCTCCATTAAGCATAGCCCCATTGGGCTTGCAGAGAAACAGTCAAGTGCAGTGTCTGGGAGTGCACACCCTCATCAGCTCATCTGCAGAGTCAGGCCAGTCTCTCTACCTTCTCTACAAGGGCTCTATGTGAACTTTGGCTAAAAAGCCAGAAGCTCTTCCCTTTGGTTTGGATGTGTTACTCAGGGGATAGCAGGTCACTTGACGCCCACCAAGTCTGGTTGCAGAGCCAGCTGTGTGCACCTCTCCAGGTGAAAAAATGGATCTGTCACCAAGATGAGAGTGAGCCAAAAAAAAAAAAAAAACTAATGTGCATCTCTGTGCTCCCACTTCTGCCACTGAATTTTAATTAACCACCCACCCGCTCAGCCCCACATATGAGAGATGGCTGACCCACCCACCACCCCTCCATCCAGGAGCCTACAATGTAAGTGGGAGTATAAGGACAGGCAAATATATAAAACGGGATGGAAGAAATACTGAGCCTGCCTCAAAGTGGGGAGGAGCTGAAGTGTGTGGGGGGAAGAAGCCTGCACAAGAAATCATCCCTGAGTCACCTCTGCCCAGGCAGCATGTGCAGTGGGCAGGGCAGGGGACTGGGGACTCCAGTGAGAGCAGAGACGGGAATGGTAACTATGGGAGGTTGGAACCCACAGGAGGAAATTAGGAAAAGTGCAGATGCTACCTGAGAGAACATCTTGCCTCTGTCCCCAGGAAAGTTTTTTCAAAGACAGGCACACTATGCCTGTATCTGCATGCCCAACACTGCTCTCTGCCCTGTGCTCCAAGTGTGTTCTCTCTCTCCTCTCTCTCTCTCTCTCTCTCTCTCTCTCTCTCTCACACACACACACACACACACACACACACACACACACCTCCCTCCCTTCTCTCCTTCCCCCTGGACTCCAGGACCAAATATCTGTTGCCTTCAGCATCACTAGATCAAGGAGCAGGCTCTTATGCTTGACCTGTATAATTGACTACTGACTGTCTCCTATGAAATTACCCTGTTTCATGGCTAACTAAGCATCACTTAGGACCACAGGCAAATCCCCCCACCTCAGCTGGCCCACTTCCTCAGAAAGGTAACTGCCACCTTGTGCCAAATGCCCATGAAGAGGACAGTCCTGGCACCAAGCCAGCTCTTCCCATTTTGGAAAGCATAGCTGGCCTTCCTGATGGCATTCTGTCAAGGCCCAGGCAGTAAACAAAATTATCATAGAGCTTACAAATGGAGTCCTCTCTGCTTCCAGGGAGGCCCCGAAGACCACAGTCTATTTTTATCTCCAACCTGTGAACATAGAGCATGAGTTTGTACTCACTTGTTGTAGCTACCGAGACGACTGGACTGTACTCATATTCTCCAGAGGGGCTGGTGACCTTCAGTCGAAATTTGTACAGTGTCCTTGGTTCTAGACCTTCAATCACATGCTTTGTAGAATAACCCCTGGACAGAAGGAAACAAACATGGACACCTCTGAACACCTCAACTTTGTCCTGGTTTTATGTCAGTTCCTGAGACTGATATTTTGAAACATTTAAAAGATATTTGTATCTGATGTCATGTTTGAGGGTAGAATGTTATATAGTCACACCCTTTCACTGACAATGCAGATGAGATTTTGTTGGGGGGGGGACGGGTTGCACAAAGAAAGCTTTTTCACATGTAAAGTTTGCTTTAAGTTGTATGTAGAGTAGCCTTTGCCTTGCTCACATGCCAGGTCACCTAAGTACCATTTCCCCATAGCAGGTAACAACAGATGGGAGCAACTTTTGAGTACTTTACATTTCCAGGATAGATCTGATCCTGCTTTATTGAATTCATTGAGAGAAATGGACATGTCACAGGTGGTCCCTCTGTACCTTTGTGGCATGTACTCTCTTAGCCTCACAGGGCCTAGCCAGGTGTTGTGTAGTAATTTCCCTCCCACTTGAAACATTCCGTCCAGGAAGGGATGGGGAAAGCTAATGAGACTCTGGAAGCAAACAACTCACAAATCTTAGCAAGTTCCTGAAACTAACAAGATTCAGAAGTCCAAGGGGGGGGATCCTCCCACCAGTCTAGATATAAGAGAGACCCACAACCTGAGCTGCCTGAGTAGAGACTCTCTGACCTATAGAGCTGCCTGTAAGTTTTTCAGAGCTTCAAGATTGCAGCCTTTGTCAGTCAGCACCTTTGACACAGCTACCTTGGAGATATGCTCCTGTAACTAACTTCTCACCCATCGTCCCAGAAAAAAACAAAAATCTCCTTTGTCAAAAATTTGAACTTTGATAAAGTTGCTATCAATTCTGTATGTAAGTTTTTCTTTCTTTGTAATTCAAAGGCTTGACCTTTGATGGGGGTGCATACTATTTCCAACTCTTTTCTCTCCACCCTGGTTCTCGCCCTTTTCCTTTCAGTGTACTTCCCCAGAGCTCCATGCATACCAAGCTCACCATTGATTTCTCTCATTTCTTTCTCCTCCTCAGCAGAGCTTCCACAAAGGCCAAAGCCATGCATTACTATTCACAACTATTCAAGGATGTTTGTGCTCAACCTAAATATTTACACACAAGTTCTGTTCCATGCAACTCAAACTTACCCCATGCCCATTTCTTGCAAGGTGCTGGACCTGGCAGCCCTGGATCATCTCAAGACTGAGATGATTCAGTCAGTAAGCCACAGATCCTATCTCCTAGAGTCAGCATCATGGCAGATAGAAGCTTGCCTGAAAACATGGTTTCAGAGAAGCAATGGTAGCATGATGGGACACACCTGTCACTCACAAGGTCTCACTTGTTCATCTCCAGAACCCACTGGAAACATCAGTCTCTTCTCCAAGGTGTAGCAATGAAAGGGGTAGCTACAGAGCAGAGCCATTCCTGGCCCTGGATGGAGCAGTAACTGCCACCCTTCCATCTCCTTCCCAACCAGAATCTGAAACCTTCTGATTTCCTCCTGAACTTGTTCCCCTGCATGAGGAATGATGGGTGGAAGAAGAGACAAGTTGCATGGTATCCTGCAAGAAAGATCTTCCACAACGGACAAGATATGTCAGAATGAAATGTAGGGTCCAAAGGACACCAGCTCCTGGATAAAGGGCTTGTGTGCCTCCAGCAAAGTGAGCATAGGATGTGTCAGATCTAGGCTACGTGGGGAAAGATGTCTCAGTGAGATCTAGCAACATTACCCTGCTCCAAGTTTACCAAGAGCCTTTGAGATTCCAGGAGAAATCAGTAACTTGTACCACAAAGTAACTTCAAGTGACAAAATCCAACAGAGCCAAGAAAACAATCTGCACATTATACCCATCTGACATCAGGCCCTGTTCCCAAATCTTTGCTGGCAAATTCAGCCCTATTCTGATACCCTTTTATTTTGTGAAGCCACCCCTCTTCACTCAAAACAAAAGTGCATGTTCAGGAAGGCCAACTCCTCCATCAATGCAGAAACACAGGCAAAGGTCTAATCCTGTGCCCTGGAATGGGAGGCAGGGTGGCAGGAGGGGAGCTGGGTAGTGCTGGAGTTGAGTGATATGAAGTCTGTAGCTTCTGCACTGGTGCCACCGGGAGCTGGCCGCATGCAAAGTTCTAATTCCTTGCTTTAGAGGAGCCACATGGTAAGATGGAGCTACTGGATGTTGGTAGGCAGTGATAGAGCTGCCACAGACTAGCAGGAAGACAGACAGACTGACCTGTGGTTGGTTAGACAGCAATATAAGATGATAAATGGTTCTGATGACATTCAGAAAAACATTTGAATAAGAAAGCAGACATGTGTAAGAAATATAAATATACTTACCAAAATGTGAACTCTGTAAACCAAGCAGAATAAATGCCCTGAAATACTACATAGACTGAAAATTATAATATAGAAAATAAAAACTATCGGACTAGAACAGATTATTCTTAAAAGCAGGTGAACTGCATTGCTAAGTGAACATCCTCATTAGTTTGGATAGGGTTGGTTCCCTAAGGTACGTGTGTGTGTGTGTGTGTGTGTGTGTGTGTGTGTGTGTGTGTGTGTGTGGAGCTGGAAGTGTGTGTGTGTGTGTGAGAGAGAGAGAGAGAGAGAGAGAGAGAGACCTGCACACATGCAAGTCTACACACATACAATCTCCCTTGTTTGTCTGCTTTAACTCTCACCCCATAGATGGTACGTCTAGTGCCCTCACAATGTTTAAGGTGTTTTGGTTTGGTTTTTGAGATGAAGCCTTGCAATTCTCTCTAAGCTCAAGTGATCCTTGGGTCTCTGCCTCCCAAGCAATTGGGACCATCATCGTGTGCCTGGCTCTTCTAGCAAATGGTTTAAATCCACTGCTAAAAGCATCTTATATCCAGCCAGTCCACACACTGTTCTGCTATCTCATGCCTCAATTACTGCACAAGCTTCTTCCTAATTATCCCTGTTTGCTGCCTTGCCTTCCCACAGCCTCATCTCAGGCAGCCTCAGCAGCCCTCACAAACCATACATATCCTGCCTGACCTGGCCTAACAACCTCCTTTGCTTCCCCCAACATCTTTCCAGCAAAAGCTGGTGTTGTCTGGATAAGCCACAGCCGCACTGTTACCTCTTAGTAAGAAAACCTTGTCAACCTCACCAATATTCCTTCCCCCACCTGTCCTCTGCTTCCTCCCTGTGCTTTCCCATCTGACACTGCTGTGGCCTAGAAAGGCCTTCAGTATCCCATACTTGCTTCAGGTCTTACCTAAGCCCTCTCCTCTGTGATGAGTCCTTACTCCTGTCACATACTCTCAGCTTACCCTGTCTTCCTCCTTGAGACTTACTAACCCCTGACACACTGTGCATTTTTACTTATATGTTTCATTTATTGTGTGGTTTTTGCAACATGGAGAATTTCTATCTGACGCCAGTGCTACATCTCTGGCCTTTAGAACAATGTTCAGCATGTCATGGGCACTCATTAATATACAATGATGGGATGGATAAAAAGCACGATAAGGTACCAATTAGCACAGTAAGGTAACACAACAGTAAGCGAGGGAGATTTGCAGTCTATTTAGAACATTGCATTGGCAGGATGAGGGAAGAGAGTGAAGAGGGGACTTATCCACAGGGAGGACAAGAAACACACACAGAGAAAGCCAAGGAACTCCCTACAGCAGAGAAAGTTTGTGCTCAGAAATGAGAGAGAGATAGTAAGGCAGATGTGGGCAAACTGCACACACACATGTTCTTTCTCTCTGTCTCCGTGTGTGTGTGTGTGTGTGTGTGTGTGTGTGTGTGTGTGTGTGTGTGTGTGTGCATGCACGTGCACACGAGCACGCGCCTGTCTCTGTGTGTGTGCCTCTCTGTCTGTCTGTCTGTCTGTCTGTCTGTCTGTCTTCTCTCTCTCTCTCTCTCTCTCTCTCTCTCTCTCTGTGTGTGTGTGCGTGTGTGTGTGTGTGTGTGTGTGTGTGTGTGTGTGTGTGAGAGAGAGAGAGAGAGAGAGAGAGAGAGAGAGAGAGAGAGAGAGACAGTTTCAAAAGGAAACTAACTTCACTATGGAACTCGTGTCAGGATTAAATAACACTCAGGGAGTCTCAGACTCCAAGGATCATGACGGCCTTCGTCTTCCATGCAAAGAAGACCAACTTGAGAGGATATGTATGACACATGAGAGAGTAAAAAGAAAGTCAACCTTCAGGAAAGAAAGAAGAGACAGACGGCAAGGAGACTCATCCTACTGGCAAATGTCTGGGCAGTCCGGGGCCTGGGCATATCTGCAAACCACCCAGAAAACGGAGTGGAGTGCCCTGGCCTCAAGAAGAGGGAAGTAGAGCGAGAACCCACAAAACTAGTAACTGAGCTTCTGAAAACTATAGGGAAAAGCCCAAGCCAAAGACCACTGCAGTGATGCAAGACCACCTGGTGATGGATCAGAGCCAAACTGCCAAGGCAGGAGGAAGTAGCCAAGTCCCCCATCCCAGTGAGCACTAGATAACCATTCTAGTCTTAATGATAACTGATAACTTAATGATAACAGGAATGAGTTGGCAAATGAGGTTGGAACTACTGCAGTCCAAGCCTGCCACCTAGTGTTCAGATACGTGTGCATGATTTTTTTCCAAGGGATAAAACTTTACCAAGGTCCTTGGAGTCAGAGTCTACAGGAGATGCCGCCAGCTCAAGATTGGCAGGCCATCATCCAAAATTATTCTCTGGCCTGACAGCAGCCAGATTTCCAGGGCCAAGGTGAATGGCACAGACACTGTACCAGGCTGGAGGCTGGTGTATATGGCTGCTGTCTCTAAATGAAGCCTGGGTACTTGGTGAAAGAAAGAGGGGAGGGGGATAGGGATGGAGAGAGGGAAGAAGTGAGGGACAGAGGAACAAAGGGACGGAGGGACAGAGGGATGGAGGGACAGAGGCCAAGAGGAAGCAGAGGAACATAGCCAGGAGTGCTCTGGCCAAACACAAGTTGATTAGGAGTTTTATCTTTCTCTTCCTCCATTAAAAATACTTAAAATATAATTTAAGGCCGAGGAAGATGGTTCAATGGGTTTTTTTTAAAAAAAAAAAAAAAAGCAATTGTCATAAAAGCATCAGGACTTGAGTTCTGATCCCCAGTGTCTACATTAAAAAGCTGGCCTGCAACCCCAGCACTGAAGTGAGGAGAGACAGGAGGGTTATTGAAGCTTTCTGGCCAGCCAGCCTAGCAGGCAGCCATAGGGGGAGGACAAGCCAGGTTCAATGAAAGAACTTGTCTCAATGGAATAGGGGCAGAGAAAGAATGAAAGAGCAGGACATGCAACTTACTCCTCTGGCCTCCATGGATATATATCACACAAAATACATTTTATATTATATATGCATGCTTTTAGAAGGAAATCACCTTCATAGTAGAATGTATTAAATGATTAAAGACTATCTTGGGAATTGTGGGGGGGTTTTTTGTCAATTTGACATAAGCTAAAGTCATTTGGGAAGAAGGTAACTAGGTTGAGAAAATGTCCTCACCAGCTTGGCCTATGGGCAAGACTGTGGGACATTTTCTTGATTAACAACTGATATGGGAGAGCACAGTCCATTGTGGGTGGTACCAGCCCTAGGAAGGTGGCCCTGGGAGTATAAAAAAGCAAGCTAAGCAAACCATGGGGAGCAAGCCAGTAAGCAGCACTCCTCCATTACCTCTGCATCAGCTCCTGCCTCCAGGTTCCTGCTCTGACTTTCTTCAATGTGGATTGTGGTGTGGAACTGGAAGCTGAAATAAACCCTTTCCTCCCCAAGTTGCCTCTGGTCACAGTGTTTATTATGGTAGAAAACTAACTGAGGCAGGGATTCAGATTCCAAACTGATTTTCATATGGTAACTATGTTTCGGATAATACTATTTTTGTGTGGGCACAGAGAGATGATGTTTCTCGGGATATTACCACTGGGGTAATGACTAACGAGCGGGGTGGAGGGTGAGAGTGATGCTAGAAGAGGAGAGAAGGGCAAGTTACCAGATGCATCATCACCATCCACGCTGTCCCCCATCTCTCCACATCAGCACTTGGGCACAATGCCCCTGGAGGAAAGGGCAGCCAAGTAGCTGACTGAACACTCTGGATACTGACTGCATCATTGCCAGGCTGCTGCCTGTGGCTCACTGCAGTACTATGTCCCAGGACACCAGGGAAAGGTGGGAGAAGGATCACAGGCTCTTCTGTGTTAAACCCTGTACCTAAAACTCACACTTGCATTCTATTTCTGGTATTCCTAAGTCACAGAAAGAAGTGACTTTATTTTGCAATGGGCTAATCGGCCAGAGGAAGTTAAGGAAAAGATGGCACGCAGGCAAGGAAAGCCAACTCTAGGATCTGCTCCCCCATAGTACTTGTTTGAGTAAAGCCATATCTCTGCAAGGGTCTGTAGCCTGCCCGCAGTGATCTAGGAGTCGGGACAGAGTGCTGCACAAGGCAAAAATTTTACCCATCTCCCATTGTACCTGAACAGGTGGCAGGGGGTGCGGAAAAGCAGCTGCTACCAGTGGGAAATCCCCAGCACAGTGCTGGATTCCAAGGTGCCTGAATGAGGATTTGAGAGAAGGCTGGTGAAAGGGCAGGTGGGCTGGCAAGGTCTGTGGCCTTTAGAGATAGGAGGGAGTATGGAGGAGGGAGCTTTAACTAGGATTCATATTCTGGGAAGGAGTTGGCCAAATGAATCAGAAGAAAATGCTAGGGAAACTGTAATGTGCACGGCACTGATGTGGGGACAAGTCTAGCTTCCCAGAGACTGAAATAGAGGCTATTTTGGATGGAGAGAGTTGAAAAGGGAACAACAGTGTCACAAGAGATTAGAGCAGTTGGCTGATATGGACTAGAAGGACTTCACCTTGCATTCATTAACAAAACAGCCCAAAGGGGGGGACCACAGCTCACATCATCCAAGTATGTTTTTTTTTTTTCTTGTCTCTACATTTTAGACATAGGTGCTGGCAGTGGTGGCTCACACCTTTAATCCCAGCACTTGGGAGGCAGAGGCAGGCAGATCTCAGTGAATATAAGACCAGCCTGATCTATAAGAGCTAGTTCCAGGACAGGCTCAAAAAAGTTACACAGAGAAACCCTGTCTTGAAAAACAAACAAACAAACAAACAAAAGATTGTTGCAGACATAGGTGATATACACTAGCTTACTTCAGGAGTCAAAGAAGCTCTCAGAGTTCATTCCCAAGTTCCACACTAATGCTCATTTACCAAAAGTTCATGGACTCACTCTTTAACTTTAGAGGAGCCTGTAGCTTCTTAGCTACCTGGGTAACCATTCTACAGTGAGGAAAGCAAGATGCAATGGAGCAGTTGTGTCTGCACCTACGTGTAAATGACACCGTAATTGTGCATCCTGGGGTCTTCCTCTTCAATGGAGAACCTAAGCCACTGCTCCTGTGGTCCTTGCCGTTTGTCTTTCTTTTCCAGATCCCAGTACAGTTCGATGCTGTGATGAGTCACTTTGCCCACAACAGGAGGATGCGGCTTTATGGATGGCACAATTTCTGAAAAGAAAAATATGGGATATCAGGGTCCCATTTCCAGAGGGGAGAGAGAGGTGGTGGGTCATAGCTGCCTGGTGACCCAACAGTTTCCTGCACATTAAGCACCCAAATAAAGGTGACACCTAAGAAGCCAAAAGGCTACAAAACTCAGCAGCCACATGAGTGCCCTGACACTCCTGAAGGTGACAACATTGGTCCACTGATACTGTAATTCACCATGGCCCTTCCAGAAAGCAGTTTACTGTGACACAGCAATTAGCTGACCCTTGAAGAATGAATAAAACTCAAAAAATAAAAAAAAGAATGAATGAAACTCAAAAACAAGGAATGATGAAACTCAATATGGCACTATCATCTTTCAGTGAACTGGCTCACAGATAAAGCCAAGAGATGAACACTATATCTGGTCCGAACATTTATAATAGATGACAAAGGCTTGACATCTATTCTGTATAATTAGCTCTATTTAAAACAAGAACAGGCTAGTCATAACTCAAGTAAAAGATGAGCTGTGTGCCAAACAGAGAAAGCAAATAGTCAATGGGACTTGGAACAAACGTTCCACCAACCCAATGTTCACAGAAGTGAGCAGGAATGAGCTCTCACTTTGTGTCCGACCAGACACTGAAGAGAATGTTACTATTATAAGTGACACTACCAGGAGAAGACACTCTCTGTCATTGGCTGTGGTGAAGTAGAAACAAAAGCCTTGCCAGAAAGCATTACGAAGAGTATGGTAAAACTAAAACCTGGCCAGTAGAGATATAGCGTGGAGGGTCTAGTACCTACCTGGCATTCACAAAGCCTGTGTCCCATCCCCAGCACTGAACAAGCTGAGTGTGGTAGCTCACACATGTAATCACAGCACTTAGGAGGCAGAGGCAGGAGGATCAGTTTAAGCTCATCCCTTAGCTATATAGTGAGTTCAAGGACAGCCTGAAGCACATGAGACCCTGTAAAACAATGTGTACACCATTCAATCAGGTCACTCATCTACAATAAGCTCTGCTGCAGCCACAGGGACACATGCATAAGGACATGAACTACTTCAGATAACAGTTTTCACAAGAAAAGGAAATCCATTGGTAAGGGAATGGATGAACAAGTTTCATGACTGTACCATTACGTTCAGGCTTTAAAATGGATGATTTTTCAGGGTGTGGTAATTAATACTTTTAATTCCAGCATTGGGAGGCAGAGACATGTGGATCCTCTGTGGCTTGAGATCAGTCTGGTCTACATAGACTGAGTTCTAGAATACCCAGGGCTATGTAGAAAGAGCCTGGCTCAAATACAAATAAATTAGTTTAAGTAAATGATTTCCATGCTAGATGTTTTGAGAGGGTTTCCATACAATTCTACCCGGTAAGGAATAAAGAAATGTTGAGATTTAAAAAGATAAAGAGTTCTCTAGGCCATATGCCAAGTTGTCAGCTTACAGTTGTTATTTTGGTTGTTTTGTTGCATCCTGTTACTTATTGCTAGTTTTGTCTGTCTACTATACTTTGAGTCTCTTCAGTTTTCACATTTCTGGGTCCATGTCTTAACATCTTTGTGCCTTGTAAATTTTGAACATATCCCTGATTTTGTATTTTCCTTAATCAACATTCTACACAGCTGGCCAGCTGCTCCCGCAACACCCAGATCTCCCACAGTATGGCCCCACCAAAGACAGACGGACCTTCTGTGGTCTTATCCACCCTAGGACAGCAGGTGACATGGTCAACAATGTCCTCTGCACTGGTACAATTATGAAGAAAGGTCATATCTGAAAGATGGGGACAAGGACAGCCTGCAGGCTCCTACTTCCTAACTTTATTTTCCAAATATTGACAGAAGGCATGATAAACTGGCTTGAGGTGGACTTAGTATGTGTTCTGAAACAGTCAAAAGTACTTACCTCCACATGTTTTGTGACAATTAAGTAACAAGCAAAAAGGATAAATTATGATGTCCCTCAGGCAATGGTATGCTTTACATCAGTGAAAGCAAACTAGTTCTACACATTAACACAGATGAATCTCAGAGTGGATGGTGAGAAAAGCATGTTATTAGACCCTCATTAGAAACTTGCAACACACAGCAACAACACTGGGTATCATTGGTGAACACACACTGTGTAGTCCAAGCTAGACCAACCAAGAGAGGGGTTGGAAAGCTGGCTCAGCCATTGAGAGCACTTGTCCCGTGCACGCTCTGTATTTCTCGCCAGCAAGAAATCATACACGGGACACTCGGATCCTTCTGCAGGAAAGCTTTAATGCGTCTTGAGAGGAGAGCATAAGCTTACCAGAGCGGAGACACTGAACCAAGAAAACCCATCCCTAATAAAGGCTGGCAACCGCCGCCTCGGACGTGTCACCCCATGATTGGCTGCAGCTCATCCGGCCATATGACGCCACGGAATAGGCAGAGATCAAGGAATGGAAAATTACCCAGCGCCTGCGCAATAATCTTGTTTACATTCGGTGCCTGCCGGATGCAGGCGCCATCTTGTAATGGAGAATGCAGGGACGGCTCCCTACATCTCCCCCTTTTTTATTAATTAATGATAAGGCTTTATATTTTTACAAGCAAATAGGTCACCCA